CCATTCAACTACAGTGACCCCCCCCCAATGTCTTGACTGACAAGACATTACAAGCCCTACCTTGCCAACAAAAGTGTAAGAAGCCTATTCAAACACAAATGAGAGGAACAAGAACATTAAATTGTTACCATAAATGTGTTGTCTCATCATTTTTCTTTGAAAATTGGGGAATTTAGCCCTGTCTGCATGTTACATTGTTCCTACAATCTGGAACAAGTTCCTTCTTTTCAATAAAAAGTAACCTTGACTTTAATAAAGACAGGCAAACTATTCTATTCTCCACTAATATAAATGGGAAACGTTTTATTGCTATTATTGTAATTGTTATTTAGACTTTCTATTCTACATTAACTGAAGGCTCAGAATGCAATGTTTTTCTGTAACCCTAGAAAAGCAAGTTTTGCACTCAAATGAATCTCTAGGTACAGATTGGTCCACTCACCATGAGTCTAGTGCCAGTCATTACAATACCTCATGGCAAAGCACAGATGATCCCCACATGTTTCAATAGTTATTAACACACCCTCATATATTGAAGCAATATTGTTGCTAGTAGGCACCAATGGATTTCAACGAACGTAGTCACAATGCAAGAAATATGGTAAAAGCAGGGGTCATTTCCTCCAGGAGCACACAGGAGCGGAGCTCCGGCAGTAAAGAGCCCAGGGGGTGGGCACATGCAACAAGCCCCGCCCCCTGCTCCCAGCAGCCCCAGGCCACGAAGAGCAAGAAGCCTCCTTCCTTCCTTCCCTTCATCCCTCCTTATTTCCTTCTCTCCCTCTTTCTTTCCCTCTTTCTCTCCTTCTTTCCTTCTCTTTTTCCCCTCCTTCCTTCCTTCCTGCACAGATCTGCACATCCCGCCCCCCCCAGCTAGCAATCCAAAACAGTACAGTGGGACCTTTAAGGCCAAGGTTTATTCAGGTACAAGCTCTCCCTCCTCTGCTAGGGCAGATCTGCGCATCCCTCCCCCAATAGCTAGCAATCCAAAACAGTCCAGTGGAGCCTGAGCAGTGGGTGTTGCCTTCTGGCACACTTTCAGTGATGTCAGGGGGTGTGGTGTATGTTAATGAGGTATGCTAATGAGCTCCTACACCTTTTTTCCTATGAAATGACCCCTGGGTAAAAGTGTAGTTTTTAAAGTTGAGCAGATGTGCATGACACTTGCTACCACAAGAAGAAGGAAGGAAAGAGGGAAAGAAGGAGGGAAAGAAGAAAAGGGAGAGAAGGGAAGAGGGAGGGAAAGGAAGGAAGGAAGGAAGGAAGGAAGGAAGGAAGGAAGGAAGGAAGGAAGGAAGAAGGAAGGAAGGAAGGAAGGAGGTAAGGAGGAGTAAAAGAGAGAAAGGAAGAGAGAAGGAAAGGAGGGAGAGAAAGAAGGCAAAGAGATGGGGGAGGGAGGCTCTCCTACCCCCCATCAAGCCCCCAACACCCCCCACAGATCCCTCACTCACCCCATCAAGCTCTTCAGGCACAGGCCAAGGAGGCTGGTGGGTGGGGTCTTCAGACCTCCCATGGGCTGGAGCACCTTGGTGCAGGCCCTGGGATGCCAGAGGGCGGGGTCTTCAGGCCTCTTGTGGGCTGGAGTGCCTTAGCATGGGCCTGGGGAGGTCAGCGGGTGGGCTCTTTGGGCCTCCCGCGGGCTGCAGCACCTTGGCACGGGCCCTGGGAGGCTGGCAGGCAGGGTCTTAGAGCCTCCCGCAAGCCGCAGTGCCTCAGCACGGGCCCGGGGAGGCTGGCGGGTGGGTTGTTCAGGCCTTCCGCAGCGGAGACAGGGCGGGACGGGTTGCAAGGCCAGCCGGAACACTGTTCCGGTGTGTTCCAGCCCAAAAATAGCCCTGGCTGAGGCAAAATAAGTCCCAAGATTAGGGTTGCCAGACCCCCTGGTGGAGGCAGGGGGTCCCCTGCCACCAGGCCCTGCCCCCCAGCCACTGATCAGCAGGACAGCAGGGGACTTATCTGAGAAACAGAAAGTCCCAGGCCTTGTTGCTGGTGTCACACAGGAAGGGATGTCATCACACAAGCAATGTCTCTAGTATTTGGGCAAAACTTTTTGGTAGAAGCCAATCTTAAATATCATAGCATCACTTGGACTTCACTGGTGTGATGATGTCACTTCCTGTGCGATGCTGACAATGAGGGCTGTTTTCTTTCTCCAGGCAAGTCCCCCAATCCCCTGTTGGTTGCCAGGAGGGACCTGGCAACCATACCCAAGATGGATGTGCAAAGCCACCTTTAGTCACAGCTACTCTTGCCACAGTCAGCTCAGGGCTTGACTACATACTTGTTATATTTTTCCTAGGTATGAGCTGGTCATAGACATGTTCTTGGAGGTTCATGCATGGAGGGCTTGTTTCTGGTTTTCATCCATGGTGTGTGAGTAGTCCCTTTCCACTTAGCAGCCCTGGTTTCATTATCAAGGAAAGAGACTTCCTGGATTAAGGTGATATTATAACTTCATGAGGAAGAAGAAAGAGCAAGTGTCCAGTAGTACCTTAAAGCCTAACAAAATATGTGGCAGGGTATGAGCTTTTGTGAGTCACTACTCTGAAGTATCTGAAGAAGTGAGCAGTGACTCACCAAAGCTCATACCCTGCCACATATTCTTTTAGCTTTTAAGGTGCTACTGGACTCATGCTCTTAATTTACAATTAACACTTTCCCAGACGTCTTAAACAATGATGTTGGGCTGCTGATAGGAAATTGCATTTTACAAATCTCGTTAAAATAATTTGCTAGTTTTACTTCTCACATAGACTTGTGAGAAAAAAGAAAATTTCTCATGGTATTATGCAGAGGAATAGTACAGAGCTTGATGAAAAGTTGTACGTAGGTTCTTAATAATCTCTAGTATGGGACTATTGCCCTTCTCACTGTCCCCTCAAACTAACTCATAGTGATTCTCAAATTGTGGGTCAGGAGTCAGACCCTCTTAGAGAAGGGTCACAACAAGTCCAGGAAGGGCACTGGGAGGAAAGGGTGAGCTGGAAGATGAGTTCCTGTGAAGCATGATGGAAGGTTTAGACTTGCCTCTGCATAATATGTGAACTGGCCATGAAAGACAACCTGTTGCTCAGTAATGTTATGTATGTATAAATCCAGAAAAGGAACAAATAAAATATACACTTCTTCAGTGGTATTTGACTTCCAGAAAGCTTTTGATAAAGTTCCTCATCAAAGACCCCTAAATAAGCTGTGGAGCTTGGAGAAGCTTGGAGAAATGACGACTAAGGGATGACATGATAGAGGTTTACAAGACTATGTATGGGATAGAGCAGTTAGAGAAAGAAGTACTTTTCTCCCTTTCTCACAATACAAGAACTTGTGGGCACTCAATGAAATTGCTGAGCGGTCGGGTTAGAACAGATAAAAGAAAGTTCTTCACCCAAAGAGTGATTAACACATGGAAATCACTGCCACAGGAGATGGTGGCGGCTACAAGCATGGACAGCTTCAAGAGGGAATTGAATAAACATATGGAACAGAGGTCCATCAGTGGCTATTAGCCACAAGGTATTGATAGGAACTCTCAGTCTGGAGCAAGTGATGCTCTGTATTCTTGGTGCTTGGGGGGGTCAACAATGGGAGGGCTTCTAGTGTCCTGGCCTTACTGGTGGACCCCCTGATGGCACCTGGTATTTTTGGCCACTGCGTGACAGAGTGTTGGACTGGATGGGCCTTTGGCCTGATCCAACATTGGCTTCTCTTATGTTCTTATATGCCACTCTTGTATTTTGTGCTAGAGAGGGAAGTAGCATGGGGTTACTTTACAAGCAAGCCCTGAAAAGAGTGGTAAATTTAGAAGAGGGTCCTACTTCAAAACATTTGAGGACAATGCAATGATATTGTAATAATTCTGTAAACGTCACCACCATCACTGCTTAAGCTTAGGTTCAGTATCTGTCTTGTGGTTCCTGTTCTGCCTGGAACAACTTTCTGGAAGTCTACTGGCCTGTGTTGCTTGGATGAGTTAGTTGTCATTCAGTTTAAGTATTATAGTATTATAGGAGAGAGGCAAATTTCAGTTCCTAGAAACTCCTTCCCACTTCAGTGTGAAGAAATGTGTGATGTTAGTTTCTTTAAAGCAATTCTGAAAACATCAAGCCTGTTTTTCTAGGGCTGTTTTTAGGTCACTGACAAATCATGCAATAGTTTAAAACGTTGTGCCATAGCAATGTACCAGTGGAGTCCTGAAGACAATTTTTTTCTTTCTAAGCTGATTGCCTTCAGTGGACTTAAAAGGGTATAACTCTGTTTAGGATTGCTCTTTAAATTTGCTTCATTAATAACCATGCTACATGAGGCATGGTCTTCAAGCACTGTGTTTCCAAAAGGTTGAATGGTGTTTAATGGTCCCTATGTATTAATTCTCTTGAGAGTTTACTGCCTTGTAGGATGAATTAGTTAGATAACACCTTCAAAAAAATCTCTTTCTTGCAAGGTAGTCAAAACTTTAAAGGTCACAGTTAGCTCCACCTCTGGAAGGAATGTAGAAATATATTCAATAGGCTTGTGCTTTTTCACTTGCAAATAATATGTAATTTTAATTGATGATCCAACAGAACTTTAAGATGTTTAATGTTGGGATAGCAATTTGAATAGATAGGAGTCTCATTCACAGGAGACATATACAAGTTCACTACCACTGGGCTGTAGCCACCATAAAGTTTATTGTTAACTTACTGCCATACTTACTGTCATGTTTAATAAATCACAATGCTCAGCACTGCAAGAGAAAGATTGAACACTGAAATTCTGTACACACAGGTATTGTTCTACTATAAATATAAGTCTGTAACGACATTTCAAAAAAATAGGAATGTGATTTCTTTAGTAGCCATGTAAGGTTTTGTGTTGGTGGATGGCAGTGGGTGTATTACAGTTGCAAGATTACATTTCCAAAATGATTTTTGCTAAGCATATAAATTCACTTGTTCATAGAATTGTATGCCAGCAGTATTTTAGAACTTTGCATCCATTTGCTTTTGCTTTCTTCCCCTTCCTAGGTGGCGTTTGCATTGCTCAGTCCTTAAAAATCCCCCGTGAACCAAGACCAGGAGAATTTGACAAGCTCATTCGGCGCTTGATGGACACTCCTAATGCTCGTGCTGTGATCATGTTTGCAAATGAGGATGATATCAGGTGCTTCTGTGTCTATTTTAGTCTTGTGTGGGATGGACAACCTGTTACTGAAAGTTATATTTTTACTCGCACATATTGCTTGTTCTGATAGGCTGCAGGCCTGAAGGCAATGTAGAAGCTCTTGCAGTCCTGAGGCACTGGTAGTTAGTAACAGTTCCACAGTATTTGGTGGTTCCTGCCTCACTTGAGATCTGACAACAACTTCTAAGTCACTGAGGATGACATGAAGGTTGTTGGTTTGGGGTGATTAGCCATGTTGGTCTGCAGTAGAAGAGCATGTCTGTAGTTTGTAACATAGTGATCAAAATAGATGAAATCAATTAAAAAACAAGGTGTGAGTGAAAAGTTGTAGTAGTTGACCTAAATTCTACATACACACATAGTCCTAACACAAAAAGGGTTTGAACTAGATAAAAGACAACCAATTACATGGATCTCTTAACATTAACAGTTTTCTATGGAATTATCTCTTTTGTTTATTTACAGGAGAATATTAGAAGCAGCCAAGAAAATCAATCAAACTGGGCATTTTCTTTGGATAGGGTCAGACAGTTGGGGGTCTAAAATCTCACCTGTTTATCAGCAAGAAGAGATTGCAGAAGGAGCTGTCACCATTTTGCCCAAAAGAGCTTCCATTGATGGTAAGACTGCCCCTTCTGTTCTAGTACAGATTAAACCCAGTAACTGAAGTGCACATTTTCTGGTACTTTGAACATACTACGATGGGTGATGATAAACAGGGATGGAGATTTTGGATCAGTTTATATATAATACCAAATTATGGTTTGGTGCCACACAGTGGAGCCTCACGTGCTCCCTTTCCTTGCCTTTGATGGTGCATCTGAGCCAGAGAATTTGCTGTACGTAATTATTCTTGGATGTATCATCCAAGCCAGAGAAGAATTCAGGGGCTGTCACTTTTGCCTCACTTTGAAGATGCACATTAAGCCTGGTGACGCTCATAGTAAAAGGCAAAGGAATTACTTTATTTGGTGGCATTTCCTGCTGAAAGTTGTACTTAGTTTCCCACCCACTAGTCACGGGATAATATCCTACTCTCAGCAATATCTCTCTTTCCACTCCTACCCATCTGTATGCCTATTTACTGATGCCATCTGGTGGAATGAATTCTAGGCCTGATAAATACAGTTGCAAAGGGATTATAATAGTGGATCACCAACCTTTTCTTCTGAGTAATGAAAAAAATATTCTGAGCTACTCCCCCCTCCCCTGCCGTATTACCAAGTTTTCTTCTAGCCTAGAAACAGAACATGGACTAGGAAGAGCACCTGAAGTAAATCTGTCAGCTAAGCAACACCAAGAGAAATCCATGAAATAAAAGGTTTTTTAAATTAAAAAAGCCTAGAGCAGATCTTTTTATTATTTGGTCTTATGAGTGATGCAGGAGATATCTTGCAGGAGCCAGTGAGCTGCTGTTAGCACCGGAGCTACCTGTTGGAGACCCCTGGATTACATGATCCCTGTTTAGTCATAGGTAGCAACTTGAATAGCCCAGCACTAGCTGGAGCTTGTCAGAGCTCTGAAAGAAAGCAAGGTTTGCCATGGTCAATAATTGGATGAGAGACCATGAAGGAATACCAGGGTCAGAAACAGGTAATGGCAAACCCTGCTCATCTCTTGCCTTGAAAAATCTTATGAGGAGTCACCGTAAGTCAGTTGTAACTTGATGGCGCTTACTTATTATTAATTGTTATTTGGTCCTAGATCTTAAAGTAGTAGCTTGTAGAGGGGGAGAGAACTGGAAATACCTGAGCCCATTGAACAAAGTGTGTTGCTGCTCATATTGCCCCTCCCCTTTTTGCAGGTAATTTAAGGTTGGGCTTGTCCAAAGCCATGAGCTGAAGGGCCACAACCAAAGGGATCTTGGCCCTTTTGTTTGGTTTTGCAGCCCGTGATCCTGTGTGAGTTGTGCTGCCAGACCCAGGGTGACTTTATATCCCATCACCTGCTGGAGGAGCCTGTTTGGAATATCACTATTAAATGGTAGTTTTGTATATTTTATAAGTAAGCTGCTTAGAGTCCCCAGTGTGTGGGGGGTGGGTGGGGGAGAATGGGGCATAAATGTTTTAATAGATTGATTAAAATAAAACAACCTACTGAAACAGAATTCCCAATAAAGAAGAGCATGTACTGTACTAAAATGACAGTAGTTCATACTGAGGAGCCTTATGTGCTATGAAATCGCAGCAAAGATCAGGGAGCTCCAAATGAGCTATAGAGTTTTGAGTTTTTAAAGAATCAGGCAGCATATTTATATAATGATTGGCTATGTAGAAATATATGAGATTTCTGCAATTTCATGCACCTGAGAGTGTCAGAGATAGGTGAGAAGGCAAAGATGATCATATCACTACAACTCACCCCTAGTTCTAACTGTCTCTTCCCCAAAAGTAGACCAAGATTCAGAGCAGCCTTTTAATGTTCTTGTGAATCAGTACTGCCGGGTCATTTGTGTGCTGATTTACTTGTTTCTGCTGCATCTGCTTCTTGTATTCTAATATGTAGGGAGCTGCATTACATGGATATACGCAGAGGAAGCCATCAACTAGAATGTGCATTTGTAGAACATGGCTCTACTAACCAAGACCTTTTTTTTTTAAACAGTGATTCATTTTATGTGATACAATTATTCCTACCTTTAGGTGGGTAGCCATGTTATTCTGTAGTAGTAAAACAAAAATCAAGTCCCGTAGCACCTTAAAGATCAACAAAATTTTCCAGGGTATGATCTTTTGTGAGTCAAAGTTCTGATACTTGGGCTGATTTCGCACTAGAGCTGCTTCAATGTTGTGTCACTGTTTGGCCCGATACTATTGGTCAATTTCACACCTGAAGCCGCGGGGCTGCATTTGACCTGCGGCTTTGCTCGATTTCCTCCGCAGTTTTGTGATCCTCAAAAAAAGGATCACGAAACTGCGGGGGGAATCGGGTGAAGCCGCGAATCAAAATGCAGCCCCGCAGCTTCGGGTGTGAAATTGACCAATAGTATCAGGGCAAACGGTGGCGCAACATTGAGGCAGCTCTAGTGCGAAATCAGCCTTGGACTTAAGTATGTATAATATTTCTCTTACCCAACTTGCAAAGATTTCACTTCACTTCACTTAATGAAATCTGTGGTGATATCTTTTCTTCTCTATCTTTTTTTATTAATGTAGGTTTTGATCGATATTTTAGAAGCCGAACTCTTGCAAATAATAGACGGAATGTGTGGTTTGCAGAATTCTGGGAAGAAAATTTTGGATGCAAGTTGGGTTCTCATGGAAAAAGAAACAGCAATATAAAGAAATGCACAGGTAACCTGCTTGAATGTGTACTGTTATGAGCTTTGCATTTCCACAAGCAGTGAGCTGCCTGGTTTGAATAAGAATAGTTTGTGATGTCTTTGTTATGTTTGCTTTGCTTACAAATAGACAAGTAGTGCACAAAATGGAGTCAATGAGGCACCCCTATAGGACAGCAGATCTGATGCCCCAAAGTGGATTCCCTAGAGAGACTCAGTGTCCCTTCAGCCAACAGGTCTCTCTCTCTCTCTGTCTTTCTCTCTGGCTGCGATCACACGCTCCTTTAGATCCGACATAGGTGCGAATGCCTGCGGATCTAAAGGGAGCAATCAGACAACAGCAGTCATTGGCAACCCTTGCTGCTCTGCCACGGAAGTGGTGTTAAAGGACACCGGGGAAAGTCCAGTGTTATCTGGATAAGGTGGGCCACGGGCAGACTTTCCCCTGTTCGGTCACTCATGCACACTCTCATGCCATTGGGATGGTCTGATCAGGCCATCCTGACTCTGTGCCATGTTTTTTTCTCCCCTTCACAGTATGCACATCATCACATACTCCATAGGGGACCCTCAGTGCAGAGGTGTGATTCCTCATTTATGCACGAGGAAAATCGGGCGAAATGGACAAATGGGGGAAAAAAGACTCACCCACAATTGCGGGCTAAGCCCACAGCCTCAAAGGGCTGTGTGATCTCGCAACTGCATGCCAAATTCCTCCGGAGGATAGCCTCACTTCCCCTCCATTTCAACTGGTAGGTGTGACCGCAGCCTCTGTCTCTCTGTTTCTCAAAAGTTGGCTCCCTTCCACATGCACAAAAAACAGACACACTTCTGTCCTCTCTCCTCAACTGAGGAAGGTCATGTTCTCCAAATTCTAATGGATCATTGAACAGGAGAAGCTAAGAGGTACCTGTAGACTATCAGATGACAATTAAGTCTCTTGAGGATACATCAGCTGACCATTCTGAGCCACTGGCCTGATGACCCACAGTGGTTTCTCCAAGCTGCTTGCTGAATTCATTTCTGCAGGTACCTCTGTTTTGGTGATAGTGGCTGTGACTTGTGACTGGTCATATGTTATTTTAATTGGTTGTGTAGAGTGAATGAAGTGATTATGACCCTCCCCATATACTCTAATAGAAAAAAAAGTCAGACACATTTATTTACTGTGAAAGTCAAGAGCTGTGTACCTAATGTATCTAATGTTAGAAGCAAAAGACTTTGCTCTTCTTTTTAGGAATTTGCTTTAATAGATACTCTGGTGAATTCTGTGGAAACCGAAGGAAGAAGTTTTCACATGTATGATTGATGAATGGAAGAATACACTGTGATTTATAAAACTGTAAGATTTAATTGGTTTAATTGGTACATTAATCAACCAGAATTTTCAGTGATAAATCATCAGGGATAAGTTTTAATTGATGAAGCAAAATTTAAGGCACACTTGTTTGTTTTTGGAATTATTTTGGTCTTAGTGTGATACCGTAATAGGGACTGAAAATAAAAATGCTGAAGTGAGCCTTGCCTTCTAGCAGTGCATACTAGCTGTTTTTAATTAAATGGGAATATGCGTATTCATTCAACTATAGTCAAACACCTTATTCATTACTACACCAAAAATGGTTAACCAATGTACAGTGCCATCCTAAGTTGAGTTGTACCTCTCTAAGTCCATTGAAGTTAGTGGGCTTAGAAGTAGAACTCTACTTAGCATGGCACTGTAAAACTTTCATAGTGTAATGTGTACCATAATGATGCAGATCTTCCATATGTAAAAGATACACTGCAAGCTGAACATGTGTTGAAGAACGATCATTAGGAAAGATAATACAAGTTTATCTTTCCATTTAATATTATTAATAGGTATACTTGATCATATTAATGGTTAAGCCAAATATTGGTTTGTTTCATTTTAGCTAATTATTTTTACATGTGTCATTCCCATTCTTCTTTTCACATTACTAAAAAGATGGAACCAAGTTGTGGCAGTGTAAAAGGATCCAATTCCATTAAGAGTAGGTCTGAATTTCTTGTATGGCAGTGACCCTGAGTGTTTATTTTACACTGTGATTTATTTATTTATTTTAGTAAAGAGATGTTCTCATTGAAACCTTGCTCCAATTGTTAATTAAAATCATTCCTTCATGCATGTCCCTTTTACTGTTAAAAAGCAGCTTTATCTTTCTGTAAGGTTAGCATTTTGTTTTAACTATTCTGCAAACCTAATCAGCCTTTAAATGCCTATAATGACTGACTGCACTCTTAAAAATAGAAATGGGAGAAGATATTTCATGAGCCATATACAGCAAGATTAAATTTGCCTAATTTGTGCAGGTCTTGAACAAGCCATAATATTTGTTTCCCTAGAAGAGGCTGGTGGTGCTTATAATAGAACTCAAATCTAGATTTGATATGTGTTTGTGAACTTCAAAATTATATTGTTTAAATCTCTTCTATATTGGGTTTTCTGCTTATGGTAGATTTATTTAGGGATTAATAATTACATGAAATATCCTTCTTTGTATTCATCTCTTCATTAATTAAGCAGCTTTGCTCCTCTGACTAATTCAGACAATTCTAGCCCTAAGCCACGCTGCCTGACCAGTATCTGTATGTGATCCCCTGCAGCCATGTATATTTCAGAATGTGTACTATTGTCAAGCCCTGACCTGGATGGCATAGGTTAGCCTGATCTGGTCAGATCTTGGAAGCTAAGCAAGGTCAGCCCTGGTTAGTATTTGGGTAGGAGATCACTAAGGAAGTTACTATGCAGAGGAAGGCAATGGCAAACCACCTCTGAACATCTTTTGCCTTGAAAACCTTTTGGGGTCACCATAAGTCAGGTGTGATTTGATGGCACTTTCCTCTACATTGTTGTCAAGCATATCACTGGTGACATCTTCCCTTTCAAAAGTTTGTGAATGTTTTGTGGCATCACAACAGCTCAACCACCAGCTGAATGAGATGAAGCTCACCAGTGGTAGGTCACAAGAGGCACTTTTCATTTGATCATACTATGTTATGGTCAGGATCCCATCAACCTTGTGCCTAAATGTAAAATGCTGTCCTGTGTACATGGGCAGATGTTTTGTTTAGTGACAGTTCTTTACCCCTTAAGCCTCTGCAGAGGAGGTTAGTGTTTTTTCTTCTTCAAGTGACTGGTTGAGTTGAAAATCTTTGATGCATGAGCAGAGTGCCTATACAGTGGTGTGGATCTCTCTTTAATGAATATCAGAAATTAGACCTTTCCAAACATTTTAAAAATGTTTCTTTGGTAAAGCATTTATAGCAGCAGATAAGGTGAAGAAAAGAGGAGTTGTTATATTTGGAAAGGAAGAGTTCCATCCAGAACTTTATTATAAATCAGAAGATGGAAGAATAATTGCAATAACAATACTGAGAAATGGAAAAGAATGATCAATTATTAATATATATACACTTAATCAGAGCCAAGAAAATCAAAAATATTCTAAAAACAAAACAATTTGAAGATGTCTGCATTATTGGAGACTATAATGCGGTATTTGACTCTAAAATTGACAGAAAAAACAAAAAAATAAAATAAAATCGGGTAATACATTACCAAAAAGATTTTTAGAAATGGCAGAAGAGTACTGTATGATAGATGCTTGGAAGACCAAGAATCTAGATAAAAAAGATTATACGTACTACTCCCCTAGACACAATTCTTGGTCAAGAATTGATATGACTTGGTTAACTGTTTCAATGTTTAAAGAGTTAAAAGAAGCTGATATAACGGCAAGTATCTACGCAGACCATAGTCCTATTTCATTGACATTCCAAGAAACCAAGAACTAGATGGAAAGCAAATACAGCACTTCTGAGAGATAAAGACTTCATAAAAAATACCAAGGTGGAAATACAATAATTTTTTAAAAGGAATTTACAAGAAGAGATTTCAATTAACACAGTATGGGACACACTTAAAGCATTTTTAAGAGGTTGGTTTATTAACCATGATGCATGGAGGAAAAAAACAAAAAAGGAAAAAAAAATTGATAACTTAGTAGAAAACATAAAGGCGGAAGAAGATAAAATGAAGAAAACAACGGAATCAGATACAATAAAACTGAAAATAAAAATACTACATCAATTAAATATTTTATCAATGCAAGAATTAGCTAAAAACATAGAATATATGAAACAATATTATTTTGAAAATGCCAATAAACCTACCAGATGGTTAGCGTATAAACTCAAAAAAGAGAGAGAAAAACGAATAATTTCAGCATTAAGGGACGAAAATCAAAAGTTAAAATATAGAGCCAAAGAATTAAAGGAAATTGTGGAGAACTTCTACCAGAAATTATACCTACAAAGTACACAAGACCCTCAACAAATAAAGGAATACCTAGAAACATATAATAAAAGGGAATTTAATGAGGCACAGAAGAAACTACTTAATGACCCAATATTGCCATGCGAAATAATAGAAGCAATTAAGAAATAGAAAAAGAAAAAAACACCAGGACCGGATGGCTTACCAGCAGAACTGTATCAAAAGTTTGAAGAGCAACTACTAATGCCTTTTAAAGAACTACTTCAAAACATTATTAAAAAAGGGAAAGTACCGGACTCCTGGAATTTTTAAAAATTTGTTTATTTTTTGCCATTAACAAAGATACAACAACATAGAAGTGCGTTTCAATAACACTCGAAAGACTAAGTCAAAATTATTGAGAAACTAAACATTACAACTAAGAGATACAGTACATAAAATCGTTGGTCTGCAGAAAAACAACATAAGAACCATAATTGACGTACTGGAATACTACGAAGATCACCCAGAGAAACAGCTGGCATTATTATTTCTGGATGTGGAGAAAGCGTTCGATAATGTATCCTGGGAGTTTTTAAGGCTAAAACTAAAGAGCTGGAAGTGTGGTGATAACTTTATATCAATTATCTCAGCTATTTATAAGAAAAAACAGGCTAAAATAATAATTAATGAAGATATGACTCATAACACTGAAATTCAAAAAGGAACAAGAC